GAGTTTTCCTGAATACAGTTTGTTCTACAGTCCGCGTGGGGAATGCAGGTTAGAATTTGGAGCCTCCGGTAAAGGATGCTGGCTTGCAGCTGACCCCGTGTGTGAGGAAGGATCTGGCTGAAGCAGCTAGAAAACGATAAAGCTCATATGCTGGCCCCTCCGGAATGGTGGTGGTGTGGTAGTGTTCTGCCGTCCCCTAGGGCCACTCAGGGGGGCGCTCGGGATACCAGGATTCCTGAGATTATTGGAGCCTTCGGAGGATCAGGCAGGAGTTTTGCTTTGTGATGGTTTCCTGCCCAGATATACAAAGACCGAGTTTTGATTGAGTTCAGTAAACTTGCAGAGGTCTGAACGGGGAGAGAAAAAAAAAAGTTTCCTAAGGAGGGATCCAGGAGAACTCTTCTGAAAACACGTGCCCTTTAGAGCACTTCCCAGGTAACCCATTTCCTCTCAGTCTCTTTCTCAGTGCTGGCCAAGCTATGCAGATTCTTCCACCGGCACCCATCACCACAGTGTCTGGGCTGCCACTGGCCGGGAAGATGACCCCCCCTCTGTTAACCTGAGCAGCCTGTGGATCAGGTCAGGATTTCTGCCTGCTCATCTCCATCACCAGTTCTGACTTTTGCTCCGAGTTAACAGGCCAAATGCAGTTGTTACCCAACCTGCTGACTTGAAGTGATGGTGAATGTTCACAGGTCTTCACGGACTTGATGCTCAGTGGGGACAGGGCTGGCTAACTAACAGTGCTCCAGGCTTAAAGCTACCTCCAATGTTGCCAACTAAGAGGGATCCCTGGAAAAGAAAGTGATCAGGTCTCCCAATGCAGAGCTCTTTAATACTTCGCGCCCAAACTAACCTATCCAGTGACCGGCTTCCTCCATTTATACCCCCTTTAAGTTACTGCTCCTTCCATACACACGACGTCCTGTTAGCCGAAGGCAGTGGGATTAGTAGGGAGGCTTTTCTACTGCATAAAACAAGAGTAACGCCACATCCCCTACACCGCCGGGACAGCGGGTTTCTTCAGAAAGCCACGTGTCCAAGAACCTGCTAATGCTGTAGAAATATCCGGGGCTAAGGGGGCACTTCATTTTTCATTGCGATTTGTAGAGTCTTGTTCGTGCTCGTTGGCATCACGTTAAGATTTGGTGGAAAAGGTCCAACCTGATGAAAACCTGCCGGATCCAGGGCGCAGCACGCACAGGGAGGCCTCAATCGCTGTAGGGATTATTCCCCCTGATCATCCTAGACACACCTAGACTCTTCACAGCCCAAAGACACAGCTGAAAACAGAGCGGTCAGGGTGGGGCCCGGCACAGGAGTTTTTATAAGCACAGCTTTGGCTTCCTGCCCTCATACGTGATAAATCTGCTGGCAGGAGCTGGGCCCGGCCTGCTGGATGCCCGGCTCATTCCCCTCAGCATCCCAGAGGTTGTCGTAACTGAAGTCGCTGTGGCAGCTGTGGAGTTCTGTGTAGTCGTGATAGGCAGAGTCGTGCCGCACGCGGCCATTCCCAGGCAGGTGGTAGACGCCAGGGCTTCCGTCTGCAGATCAGAGGGGAGAGAGAGACGAACATGGATTGCTACAGGATTTCTATGCTGTCTAGTTACTTCCAAAAATATACTATGGGGAAAGGCGCAGCAGTGAGAGGTCTGGTAATCCACTCGCTCAGAGAGCAGATCCAAGAGATGGATCAGCACAGTATGCTTGACCCATGCTCCCTGCCCCGGCACACATGGTCCAGCTCCTAGGGAGAGCTCCATTCCCACAGTCCTTGGTCTCACTACTGAGGCTCCCACAGGGAGTGTGGGCCAGCTATGCCTGAGGCCGGGTTGTTTTTCTCTCTCCCATGGACACTCGTCCACGGGGAAGCACTGGATCTAGTTAAAGCCCTGTCATTCCCCAGCGAGAAGATGAACGAGGGCAGACGTTAGGCAGGGTCACCACCAAATCTGGGGCAATTGCATGTAAATGATCTAAATGGAAAAGTGCCTCAGCGTAAAACGCGAGCCCCAGCGGCAGCCAGATAAGACAGACCCTGGGTCATTTTGGCCGAAGACAGGAGATACCAAGCACGCCGGCTGGGTTGCAGAAGACACAGGGGCTGCTGGCAGATTTAGGAAGTGACAGCAGCGTGACAGCTGGAGCCGAGATACAGTTGTGCTGGGCTAAGCACTGCGAAGGCCATGTTAGAAGAGAGGCAGCAATCTAATGCCGGTGTTTGCTGCGCTGTACTGGAGCCAGACAGTGGCTCTCGCTGCCTCCTGGGGGACTCACCTGCTGACTGCAGCGAAGATCCCAGACACTCTTCCTTCAAGGAGGGGACCTACGGGAAAGGAAGGTGTCATGAGAGGTGTCTCAGCATTTTGGACGTCATGGCACCAGGTCTGCCAACAGAGGGGGAGGCAAAGGGGGCAATTACCCCAGGGCCCAGTGATTCAAAGGTGTCTGGGGCTTCCTGCTTCTGCTACCGTGGAAGCAGCCAGAGTCCCAAGCCCTTTAAATCACTGCCAGAGCACCGCTCCGCATGGATCTAAGGCCTGGGGGGCCCCATTGGGGTGGTCGCTCCAGCCCTGTCCCTTCCACCCTAGCTCACGCCCCTTCTGGAAGCACAAAGCTATGATCCCCCCTCCCATCTTGCCCAGGGTCCTGCAGAGGTTGTTGGCTCCCAGGCATAGCACTGGGAATAGCAGCTCTATAGCTTCCCACATCAGAGTCCTCCAATGTCATATCTCTGAGGGTTCAAATACTTGACACCCCTGCATAGTAACCACCCTCTTTTTGGCATAATGGGTGGGTCCAGCCAGACCCCATTCACATCCTTCATTAGTCCATTGGGGTATGTCTACACTACCCTCCTAGTTCGAACTAGGAGGGTAATGTAGGCATACCGCACTTGCAAATGAAGCCCGGGATTTGAATTTCCCGGGCTTCATTTGCATAA